CTTCCTTTCCTTCCTCTCTTTCACTTGGTCTTTCATTCTGTTGAGAAAAATCACAGTAGTTCTCTATGCTGATGGAAATGATCCACTTGGTGAAAAACTGATTCTGTAAGAGAAATGTAGAACGGCTAGAGTTCTGTCCTAGAATCAGTGAGAAGGGACAGAATCCAGTGCAACAGGGGAGGGCCAACCGTAGCCAGAAGCAGGGACAATCCAGCCACAGTGTAAGGAGAAAAGGCAGCACAAGCAGGGGCAGCTGCAGGTAGGTGAATCCACACAAAGGGAAACGCTCGTGCAAGCTTTGTCATAACTGCTTCTATTTTCTCAAGAAAACAGGAAGCAAAGTTATCACCCGAGAGTGACAGTAAAGAAGGTCTGAGGAAAGAGAAGATGTAAATAGTCATCGAGGAGAACCTACGCTCATGCACATAAAGAAAGGCCAGGCAGTCATGGTCAGAGGTAAACATGGTGAGTACAGAGGACATCCAGAGCTCGCTGGAAGCAAGGCTGGAGTCTCGCCAGGCATGAGTACAACAAAGTGAGAGGGAAAGGGGACTGAGGGTGCACGTGAGGGACGGGTTATAACAAGGGAACGGTTATAACGACGGCCCAGGAATTTAAACTGTGACAAAGCAAGGGTATGATGGAAAAGGGTGGGGCTGGTAACGAAAAGTTATTAGGATAAACAAATGACACGCTACGTCTCAATACTGAAGAACTGTGGGAAGTGAGTTGGAAAAATCAGAGCTGGAGAGGAGGACGACTGATTTTGAGATTATGCAAGAACCTGAGCTCCCGCTCATGATAAGGCCTTCGTTATAATCCCAGGCAATAAGCAGCTGAGGGAGATCGTTGGAAGAGAGAGGTCAAGGAGCTCCCAGAGTACTGGGACACTGAAACCATCAAGAATTATGATAGGTGTTGTAGAGAGAACGATCATGAATGAGGAGATAAAACAACATCCTCCAGAAGGGCGCAGGAACAGCCTGGGGAGGGGTGCCTGAAAAGGGGAGAAGGCGTCAATCAGGTCAAGGTCCAAAGACGCGAGATTCAAAGTGTCCGAAAGGGAGCAAGAGGAGGCCAGCCAAGCTCTAGGAGGAGCAGACGCGGGCTGTGGGGAAACAGAGCCCCACCAAGGGAGCTCCCGAGGAAGCACAGGTCCTCACGCAAGAGGGCGAAGGCTGAGCATCCAGGCTTCTGCTGCCGAGTCAGCGCTCAGCTCCAAGTGCTAAAGCAGAAGGTTCACGAGCTAGGGGACAGTGGGAAACTGGGGCAGAAAAGGGACAAAGAGAGACATGGGGAACACAGAGTCTGAGATGCAAAGAACTGCATACCCCAGGCTCCTCATGCCAGCCGGCAGAAAGGGGCAAAGAGCACAACGCACCCATTATCCCCGCGGGTCCCAAGTGCCGAGAGTGGAAAGACGCGCGAGTCTTGCCAGAGCCGCACGAGCTCTGGGAACGTCACTTTACTCTTGCCAGGGTAGGTGGACGTGGGGGAAGGGGGCTTAGCCAGATGGCGTGGCGCTCGGGCTCCCCCCCGGCTCCAGGATCCCACACAGCTCCCCTCCATTTCTTTCCAAGTCTTTCAGTGCTGGACACAACCTTCACAGAGTCTCACCGTTTCTCTTCCTGTTCTTCAGTTAACTAGTCCATGATCTTGAGACTCAGCTTCTAAATTCACCTGCACAATGTCTGGTGCTTAGAAGAAGATGTGCAGTAAACAGAAAAGGGAGGAGAAAGAGTGGAGCAGACTGGTAACAGGATGGCTTCTTTATAACAGTATACTCGTTAGCTTTATTTTATTACTGTATTTTATGAAATAACAATAATATTAACAAGAACAAAACCTCTAGCACCATCAAGGTCAACGAGAAGCAACGGAGAAGTCACAGGCAGGCAGCCCATCCTAAAGCTACACTGATAACTTAAACACCAGGCATGAAAACCCAACTCCAGGGATATAATAACAACCACAACAAGTCATCTTATCGTCCAGAAAAAATGGTGTTAGTCCCACAGTAAAGCACCTCTTGATATTAAGTATCAGGTTTTTTCCAGATAACTGTAAAGCTGGGATCAGAGCAAACCATGCAGATGTTCCCAAGATTCAAGATTCATGCGATGCACGTCACAGCCCACGCAAACCAAGAAAGCACACTCAATGTGCCCTTAGCAAACACCATCACAAATTCTGGGGTGAAACACTGCTGTAATCTGTATTTTTTAAAATCTTTTACTCTATTCTGCAATTCTTTTTAATAGCCCAGAGTAAAAAAGTTAAAACTTCACTCTTTAAAAATAATTTAAAATATAAAATAACTGTTACAACAAAATACACTTGACACAGTACTAAATAAAATCCCTGGGGGGCTTCCCTGGTGGCACAGTGGTTAAGAATCTGCCTGCCAGTGCAGGGGACATGGGTTCGAGCCCTGGTCCGGGAAGATCCCACATGCCGCGGAGCAACTAAGCCCGTGCACCACAACTACTGAGCCTGTGCTCTAGAGCCCACATGCCACAACTACTGAAGCCCGTGTGCTGCAACTACTGAAGCCCGTGCTTTGCAACAAGAGAAGCCACCGCAACAAAGCGCACGCACTGCAAGGAAGAGTAGCCCCCGCTCACCGCAAATAGAGAAAGCCTGTGCGCAGCAACAAAGACCTAATGTGGCCAAAAATAAATAAATTAAAATAAAATAAAATCCATGGGATGATTTCCATTACTAACCTCCCATGATCTATATTTTCTTAAAAAATAGCAAATCATAAAATACAGTTTTGTTCCATCCTGGTTTTTTTCCTCTGCACATACTGATAAATATACTTTACTGAAGCTCACAATTCTTAGTCTATGTTAGTCAAAATGTCCATTTTGCCATAGAACGCTTTATGTTACAAGCCTATTATTTTCTACCTGAAACAGTCCATAGTGCTAACCAACAGCAAACAGCAAAACTATAGCATTTATCCCAACAAAGAGTCTCACTGGAAAGATTTTAACGACAACCTACCAAGAGAGCAGTCAGAAGTAGTGTGTGGCTTCCCAAAACGGCAGAAAATACAATTACACTTAGCGTGAGCTACCACACATCCTTAATCCTCTACGAACTGGAACATTATTGTGCTAGCTGCAGAGTTTTGTTTATTTTGGCTTTGCCTCATTATATAATACCTTAAACTTCTGGCAAGTATTTCCTTTCCAATTTCTTTTCTTTTTTTTAATAAATTCATTTATTTATTTATTATTTATTTATGGCTGTGTTGGGTCTTCGTTGCTGTGCACAGGCTTTCTCTAGTTGCAGTGAGCAGGGGCTACTCTTCTTTGCGGTGCTCGGGCGTCTCACTGCAGTGGATTCTCTTGTTGCGGAGTACAGGCTCTAGGCGAACGGGCTCAGTAGTTGTGGCTCGCAGGCTCTAGAGCACAGGCTCAGTAGTTGTGGCGCACGGCCTTAGTTGCTCCGCGGCATGTGGGATCTTCCTGGACCAGGGCTTGAACCCGTGTCCCCTGCACTGGCAGGCGGATTCTTAGCCACTGTGCCAGCAGGGAAGTCCTCCTTTTCAATTTCTTTAGATATAACGAACCACTTTTGATGTGAGGAGCCAAGGATCTAGAAAGATTCTGGAGGGACTTTTTTTTCCCCATTGCTGAAGGACAAAGTGAGAAAAGGCTATATGTGGAAGTTTGTTTTGATTAGACTTAATTCAAATTCTTTAATTCACAGAGCAGTGTGTTTTACCCTCCCTAGATCTTAGCCTCCTGAGCTGTAAGGCAGAACCAGTATACATCTAGGCTGACACGTAAGCCCCACATACTGCAGGAGGCAGCTGGACATATATTCTTTATGATTCAGGCATGTTTTATTACACAGCGGCATGATTACCTAAGACAAATTCATTATAATATTAACTACTTTAATAAAATATGATAAAGCTGACAGTATTGATTAAAGTTATAATTCTTAAATTAAATAGGCTTATATGTTAAAGTAGCTTTAATAAAGTTAGAAGAATAAAAGATACCTGTAGTTCCAGCCTAAAAGTTATCAGTATCAAAGCATATAATTATTACTGACAAGAATTCTCTAGAATAGATACAATCTGAAATTCTTTGATCTAAAGATAAAGCTCTAAATGTTATCAACACTTTTGGGTTGATGATTTAAATTCACTATATCTGTAACTGAAGAAAACAGGTATTTTCCTTCCCATTTCTCAGTATTTCACAGTTAAAGTAACCTTCCATTTTATACCAACTCTTGAATTATGGTTAGCTATTAACAATCTGATCTTGGTGGTTAGGTTTTCAACATTTAAAAAAAAAAACTTTTGTAGGAGAAAAGAGTGCAGGGTGAAATTCATTTGAGAAAAATAAAGAAAACTTTACTATGTCATTTCTCTGTTAAACTGTCATTACTCTTTTCTTCGTTGGTTCATCATTTGAAGCCAAAAATCATCAGTAATGAAAAATTACATTTTAAAATCTTTGACACGCTTACATGGTTACCAGCTAACAATGAAGAGCATCCCCAAATGACAACAGAGTTCCTAAGTACAACAGAGTCTAATTTAGTCCCTTAGAGTCAGAGAAACCCTGCTTTTTACCATGCATCAGAGATTTCAACAGGAGAGACATGAGGTAGGGATACTACAGTCACTAAGACAACATGCAAGTCTGCAGAACCTCAGCAACTACAAGTCATAATGCTTCCAATACGTTAGGATCTGGCAGAAGAGGGATATACCTCAGTGGCCAGTGTCCCAGCACTGAACTGACCCTGCTGGTTACAGCTACTATCAGTTAGGGAGAGACGGGACCCTGACCAAAGTGCCGCTACTCCTCAGTAACCCTCTCCTCACCTGGGAAGTTCACGTGTTTCTCTGACATCTTGGCCTCAGGCAACAGCACAGAGTACTGAGAGGCTTGTATTTTTTCCCTCAATTATCTGTCTTTTCTGAATTAAATAATTTTTTATTCTGGTCTAAATATGTAACAAATACATACCATTTAGTCGTCGCTGAAGTGCTTCTTCCTCTAGGGTAATAATATAAATTTGTTCATCCAGGTCTTCAAGAATCTAAATTTAAACATCAAATTATTGAATAATACATTACGTAAGTAGTGCTTACCAGAATATTTAGGCTATTTAGGCTATCTGGCCTATAATTTAGATAACCATTCAAATTACTAGGAATCTAAATTAAAAATGCTCAAACTATTCTACTTGCAAATTAAGTAGAAATTCTTAGTATATAACTAAGCACATCAAAAGCTGATTATCAAAAAATCTACATACATTTAAATTGATTTTTTTCAGTTTAAAGAATTAAAGAACTCTGCAACTGTCTCAATGGCACACAAATATATGAATTCTAAACATCCAAAAAGTTAAATGCAATAACATCTCTACGCCCAAGCCAATATTTTAGAGCCAGAGGAATAGATCACCTAGTCCAACACTGGTTTCTCATCTACATTAACCTGCATAATGTATAAAACAAGAAATTCGTAAACTAAATCACTACCATCAATACTTTCCATTTACATCATCATTATATACTAAAAAATTTCTACAAATATTAAACACTGGTATTATGAAAACCATCCTATAGACAGAACCCTAGAAAAATAGTATGCTAACATACACACCACTCACTACCACAGTATACAACACTAGTAAAAACAACCACCAAAAAACCCCACTAATCAGTAACCAATTATATGGGATATTATCTGCACTGTGTAAGGGTTGGTGTGCTTCATCCCCTTGATTCTACAGCAACCCTATGAAAAACAGACTGCTCTCACTGCATCTTGTAATATGCCAAGAAACAAAGATTTGGCAAAGAAAACTTATCTGCCTTCAAAGCCTGTGCTCTTAGCCAGTCTGGGCTGATGGGGACCTAGATATGGATCGGACTTAGTCCTTGACCTCAAACAGCTTATATTCTAGTGTCCAGGAGAGATACGAAAAATCAAAAAGAAAAAAAAGTTATAGAATTGAAAGTAATGTCATAACTGAAGCTAAAATAAAATGTTAACAAAAGTTCAGAAGAAGAAAGATTCCCAGCTTCTATTTGGGAAGAAAAAAGTCTTGGCAAATGGTTTTGATGGTAGTAGCATCTTACCCAATAGCTTCATTTACCAAAAGGAGGACAGGCATTTTGCTCAGAGGAAATGACAAGCAAAACATACAGGTGGAGAGATACAAAGTACACTTAGCAATAAAGTTGCTCAATGACTCTGGAGCTTATGGCAGAACAAGGAATAGTCCAGAGCCCAGGCTCTGAAAAGAGCCTCTGGGTTCAAATCCTGCCTCATCCTCTCAGATCTGTGATCTTGTATAAGCTACTTGATCTCCCTGAACCGCAGATAATTCAACCATAAAATAAGAACACCATCACCTAACTTATGGGTTTGTCATCAGGATTAAATGAAATTATGCATGTAAATAAAGTACTTAGTGCAAGCATACAGCATATACTTAATTACTGAATAAATAACCATTATTATTGGATGTTAGGAACAAGAAAAGAGGCAAACATTAAAAAGTTTGAAGATGTTACTAATAATAGACAAGTTTGGGAGAAAATAAGCTTGGGGAGGGGAGATAAGTAGTTTGATTTTGTATCTGTTGAGTTTTCAGCTCCATAGGGCCTTCAATTATAGCACTTAAAATATACTGTAGTTTGTATTTACTCTCTTTTTCTCACTAGAATTAGACATTTAGAAGTGATGTGGAAGTGGCAGAGGTGCTCAGGAAAATAGAGCAGAGCACCTTTAGACCAAGGACAGAACTTTAAACATTTGCCTATTTTAGGGGGAAGAAAGTGGAAACGGAGAGACCAAAACAACAACAACAACAAAAAAAAATCCAGAGAATTAGGAAGAAACTAAATGAACGCAATGTCACAAAACCTTACAAGAGGGAAGTAAATTTCAAGATTTGATAGGACATGTATTGTATTTGAGTGTGTGTACATTTATGTAGCAGGTTAAAAAATCCATTTTTATTTTTTAAAAATACAAAGATTATTCATTAAAAAACTTTCAAAATTAAGCAAGCATTTACTAAAAAAATGTCTACCATGATATTCTCTCAGTTTTTTCCCTTGATGAATTACACTGATAGGGAAGAAAAACATATAACCATAATAATTTCATAAATACTACTAGTGAAATATAAAGGGGAATATGAGAAATGCAAAGGAAGGAGCTTGATTATTTTAGCTTAAAGAAGAAGTGAGGCAAGGGTCAAAGACAGGTAGTAAATGCAGCTGGTCTCAGAGCCAGGACTTCAGGAGACTGTCAGGTGGCTGAAGCAGGTAAGAGGCAGAAGCGAGAGAAAGACCCTCGATATGCCTGGGAAGTGGAAGAATCCAGGCTGCTCTGGGCACAGCAAGTCAGCTGTGAGACTGGCTAGAGTCAATCACCAGGGAAGCAATGGGGGCAGGGGCAGCTACAGGCAAATTCAGCGGGGGACAGTTGTGAAAGGCCTTATATCACGTGAATAGTTTAGACTTGAGCTTGTAGGCAATGAGGATCCATGAAAATAATGTGACAATTCCCTAGCTACAAGTAAGAATTATGGTCATTTTATTAAATATTTGACAAAATAGCTAGAGGCCCAAGTAACTTAGGGACAAATCATCAAAACTACTACCAACTGAAAATTATTTTTAAATGAATATACAGCATTTCTGAGATTAAAGGGAAAGGTATAATTCAATTAATCAAGATACAATATGCAGACAAATTTTCAGAAAATAACTGCTTTGTAAGTCAAAGAATATATATAGTAAACTTTGAAACACAAAAGAGTTACCATTTGATATAAGATAACGGGCTCCTAAAATACCTGTAAATATCTGTACATTTTATCTTCAAATTTGCTAGAAGAATTTCTAGCTGAGTGCCTATAGTTAGCATTTTAAGAGCAAAAGCAAATTTGGTTTCCAAAGATGAAAAAGATTAGAATAAAAACAATAACAATTTGGGTTATAAACACATAAAAATATTCTTCTGTTTCTGAATGGTAGTTTAGAACCTAAAAGATGTTCAAATGTAAAAATGTCTATTTAACAAACAAAATGGTTTGCAACATCATACTCACTGTTGGCTTCACCAACAGCTGCCCCATGACTGTGAACATGCGGGAGAGGCCAACTGGAGTGCACACTGCAGAACAGAGAGAGCTCACTTCAGAGTTAGGAGAGAAACTGCTAGCCCCAAATAAAGCAAACTCAAAGACTGTTGTTGTAAGAAAACGCTTGTTTCCAATCTAGGTTCTCGCAGTGTTTTGTCACAGGGCTCCTCAATGTCACCGTCAGAGAAGCTCTAGGGGTTCATGCACAGACGACGGGCATTCCTATATTTAAGGAAAAATTCACGGAGACTAAAGGAGGGGTAGGATATGCCAGATTCTAGCAGCTGAATAATAATAAGTATTTTCACTTAAAAGAAATTAAAGAAAACCAACCAGAGAACAGACTAAATTTCAAGTACTAACTTAATCGAGTACCAGACAAGAATATCCAAAAGTGACAACTATATCCTTACATCCTTTTACCTACTTTTATCTGCTTATAACATCTCTGAGATATGTTGAGATGCCTTAAGTAAAGCAAAACAAACTGTGAAAAACGACTGCCAATTCATCATAGAGAATTCCACCATAACCATTCAAAAGTAGAAGCCAGTGTTGTGATGGGGGGAGGCACGTGCATGTCTGACTCTCTCCCCCTCCCTCTCTCTTTCCAACTCTGTGGAAGAGGCTTTCTTTAGAGAAAAACAAAAGTATCTTATTATTTCAAGGTTTCAGTTTATCAAAATTTATCTTGAACATACAAAAAAAGTTAAGGGCCAACTTTTAAAAAAATCTCCAAGCTGTTAAGGAATCTCATTGGGAAACGTGTCTGTAATTTTCTAGAACACAGAACAACTCTACTTTATCATCAAAATTATGTCAGAAAAATACTTACAGAGAAGTAACAAACATCCCATCAATGATATACAAGAATATAAATAAGGTAGGTAGAACTCCCAGAGATCTATTAAAAAATGTAAATATATTTTAGTGCATCCAAAATACCATACATTGATATATATAGACTGACTATAAATTAATGTATAGTAAACATCATAATTGCCTATTTGAGTCTACTAAACCATATAATTTCTAAATTGTACAATAAAAAGATCTAAAACAGAAGAACAGGAAATAACCCTTTTGCAAAACCTGTTTGGAGGGAGAAAATGAGCCTCCATGGAATTTTAAGAACAGAAACCAATTAACCAAAGGAAGAAAACAAATCTGAAAAGCTGCTTGCTCATTCTACATACAAGAAACACACAAACATTCATTTCTTTCCTTAAACATGTCAAAAGACTTTTTAATTTTGTAAATTAACAACAAGGATTAACTATACAAAGAACTATTAAAATGTTTTAAAAAGTGAATGTGTAATTATATTCCAAACTGTAGTCTCCACTATAGAAACTGGTTTAAACAAGTCAATCCGTACCATATAAAGATTCCATACTCGCAGCGTCATTGTCAATGAGCGCCAAGGCTACCCACACTATCCCAAGAATAAGCAAGGCCAGAAGAATAAGCATGACCAGAGTTTCTAAAATTCGGGCTCGGATTCCCTGAAAAATATAATAAAGATATAATTTTAACATTTTATTTCATCACATGAACAATTAGGTTTCTGTCTATATGAAAGCATAAAAATTCTTTGAAAGGGGAGGAAATTTACATTTATTAGCAAGACAAAAAACACTAAATGTTTACTGTTGTAACGTTTAAGCTGACTTTCAAAATTATGTAAAACACCATTAAGCTTTGAAGCAAGTACCAAAACAATTCTTCATAAAAACATTTTGCAGAACCATTTTAAACAATTAATTACTTTCCTAACACTTTCCACCAAGAAAGGAGATTAACAAATTTTTATCTGTGATTCTAATCAAGGGAATATAAGGCTAATTAAGGTGTACCGCCAAACAGTTCCGAGAACACCCAACTTGGTGAAAGCATAAAGCACCATCTACTAGAGAACACGGGGGTTCTGTTAGCTCCCCACAGCCTCCAGAGCCCTCTAGTGCCCGGACGAAGAACTCCTTGTGGTAATCCAGCCTTAGAAACCATTGAAATGGATAGTATTTATATCAATTAAATATCATCCCTTTCTCCCCATTAGATAGAATTTTCATTAAATCCACGAGGCTGGAATATAATAAAGAATCATCAGGCACAATTTTGTTTTAAATAAAAAACAAATTCTGACCTAAGGGCCAAACGAGAGGCCAGACTTAAACTCAACACCTACGGGACAAGGCAAAAACAAAAAACAACTTTCTCATATTCTTAGAAAGTCATCAAATGATTGAACCTGTACCTAAATGTAAAGATTCATGTTGATATTTTATACTGTAATGCGCTAATTTACAACATCTAACACACCAAAATTATACCCATGTTTCTCAATAAGTCACATAATCTTTCCTTCCATATTAAAAATAGTTTAAAGATATGAACTATAAATAAAAATCTAAAACATAGACTTATTTCAATTTTGCCCTAAATATTATTTTCTAATTTCTGAATTACAGAAACAGGTTGCACTTAAATCATAGCACCCCAGTTCCTCAAATTCAATAGGAAAGGAAATGTCCTAAAGCCATGGCCAAAGTGTTCCCAGCCCTAAATGATGACTCAGAGTTGAAGTGGTCTTTTCTTCTTAGCCCAGCCTTACCAGGACTGCCCCTGACAGGTTAAAATGTGTCTTCAAATGGAAGAGTCAGGGCACCTTACACTCTCATAGCAAGGGAGGCTGGTAAACCAGAGTGATGACGACCTGTATTTTATTTAACACATTAAATCTCACAGTAGTTATTACTCAAGTGAGATGAACCAGGAACAGTCACAAAATGCACTACTAAAAGATACACTCCTACTTACTGAAGAACTCTCGGAACCTACACTTCACACATTCAAACCATTAGGATACCAGAACATGACCACTACCTTTTAGCACTGATTTTTTTCTCTCTTCCTCTCTTTCTAAGCAAGAACCTTTTAATCACACATTAAATATTATCTGGAAAGTCTATAAATAAAACAGATAAAAAGAGTAGGCTCTGGAGTGCATGTGTTACACCCCCTCAGCTTTGTCTTTTTCTGCCTCTGACTGGAGCCCGAATCCTGCATGCCTCTGACCAGCCCATGGGAACATCAGAGCTCTCAAAACATGTAACACGTGTCTTAAGTGTTATGATGTATGAGCTAAACAGTAGTGCTACTTGGAACTGTTTGAGACCTGATGTCCAAAAAACGGGCATTTTAATAATACATGTTATAATTATTATATTAAGCAATTGCAATGTAACAATAAGTTTAAGTGTTATAATGATAATAAATTTGTGGAACCAATCACCAATAAGATTTACACACTTCCTCTGATATTTTGGTAAGAAGTATTTCTTAGCAGTTAAATTTGTTTTTCATCAAATCTGTCTGTGTTGGAAGGCAGGGCTCCGTGGGTCTCTCCCACTTCTGTGCATCTCACAAGCAGAGGCAGGGGCAGTCCTCATTCTGGACTGTCTTTTCAAAGACTTCTGTACAGCAAACAGCCTTGGAAGACAGAGATGGTATCTCTGCAGTAGAGGCAGGTCTGCTTACAGTACAGTGTGAAAGAGAAGGTCCCCCCGCAGAGCACAGGGCAGGCAGGCTTGCTTGCACCCCATTACAAATAATGCGGGTTCCCTAAATGCAGGGCTCCTCAGCCATGACACGAGTCCACTGTGGGGACAGCTCCCACCTGGGCCACATCACCCCCATGGGGCTCGGGGTCCTGAGGAACTGACAGGAACAGGAGGCTCCTATGCCTGCACGCTAAGTAATGAAGCCTCCGACCCAGGAGTCTGTGTCTACAACCAGAGTCTGCGAGTCTGGCAAACTAACCTGTCAGCTTGCAAGTACCATAAAATCTCAGACCTCTGCAGTTCTGGAAAGCTTTGGGCAACAAGAATGGAAAGCTCACACAGCTTTCTAGGTAAGAACAAACAAGGGCCCACACAGGTTGGGTTCAGGGCTACAAGAAGACCCCCAGGATCTAGCCATGAATCCTCTCACCCAGGCCGTAGGCAGGAAGGAGAAGTAAGGGCCCCCATGACCTGGCAGCTGGCAAGTGTCTGGGGTCTGAGCTGTGAAGGGGAGTGAGACAACCCACTGGCAGTCTGGCTACAGCTCCCTCTCCCTGAGCAGAAGCAGGAAGGGGTCTTATAGTGACAATGTACAGCAAGCCTTGCAAGGCCAACTGAAAGGAACTGTCCTATCTAGGACTACGGTTACGGGGAACTATTTTTCTTATATACTTGGTGCCTTGTTATATTTTCCAAATTTTTTAGAGTGGATGTATATGACTTTAAGAAATAGGAGAACAAACTAATGTTGTTTTAATTTTCAATTTTTTTCTTACAATAATAAAGATCCAAGAGTTTGGCACCCATAAGAATAACTTTTTTAAAATATCCAAGTTCAGGGCTTCCCTGGTGGCGCAGTAGTTGAGAGTCCGCCTGACAATGCAGGGGACACGGGTTTGTGTCCTGGTCCGGGAAGATCCCACATGCCACGGAGCGGCTGGGCCCGTGAGCCATGGCCGCTGAGCCTGTGCGTCCGGAGTCTGTGCTCCGCAAGGGGAGAGGCCACAGCAGGGAGAGGCCCGCGTACCACACACACACACACACAAAAATCCAAGTTCGGTTTATGAGATAGACAGTATAATAAGCTCATTAAGAGCCCTAACTCTAGCAGCAGACCACTTGGGCTCAAATCCTGTTTCCATCATTGACCAACTGTGTAACCCTGGGTAAATGCCTAAACCACACTGTGCCTCAGTTTCCTCCTTTGTAGAATGAGTTTATTAATGACACCCTTACCTCATGGGTTGTTATCAGAATCAAATGAGTCAATATGTGCAACATGCTGAGCTCAATGTCTGGTACCTAGTAAGGATTAACTGTAATAATTCAAACTGTTGCCTTTGTGTTTGGAATCTCCAAGGCTCGGGAATTCGCGTATCATTTGTCTTTCTCAATTAAATTTATACCACCTTCGAATGCCACCTTGTCACTCTTCCCCATCTTTGCCACCTACCACGTACAGACCTAGAAGAAACAATCCCATCTTTCTTGATACATGAGCACCCAGTTCACAAGAGCTTCTCATCACATCCCCTGCCACCTTAAGTACCATACACGCTCATAATGAACCTGACCTGCATTCTACTATGGCCGCCCACACAGCTAACCAGACCCCATCATCTCTCAGGCCCAAGTCTGAGATGTCACATGGTGAAGCTGCCCCTCAGCCCACAGCCTCCTAGTCTCCTCCGATCTTTCAGCCCTCCAACCTAGCGCTAACCTAGCTCCAACCTAGCTCCAACCTCGCGCTAACCTAGCTCCAACCTAGCTCCAACCTAGCGCTAACCTAGCTCCAACCTAGATCCAACCTAGCGCTAACCTAGCTCCAACCTAGCGCTAACCTAGCTCCAACCTAGCTCCAACCTAGCGCTAACCTAGCGCCAACCTAGCACCAACCTAGCGCTAACCTAGCTCTAACCTAGCGCTAACCTAGCGCTAACCTAGCTCTAACCTAGCTCTAACCTAGCTCTAACCTAGCTCCAACCTAGCTCTATGCCCTCATCGTGATCATCTCTCCTCCCTTCATCTTCTCAATCCCTCCAATCAGCCTTGTTTTCACTGGTCTAAACCCCATAGCGAACGAGTATATTTTAATGATAATTCAGTATCAATAATATTCTAGTATTCCTGGCCCCTTTAACTTCCACCAGACCAGTTTAATTCCACCTAGAAGCTCACTCCAAATTCTCAGCATTGTTAAAGAAATTTACAAAATCATGACAAATTCTTGCTACTACATATTCCAAAGTGGGCCTTCAATGTTACCCAGCAATCCTTATACTGATCTCTGGCTAATAATTCCCTCAAAGGTTTGTAAACGTGTTCCAGTCTCTTTGACCCTAATCTCAGGCCCTACGTTCTTAACTACAGCTGACCTTACCTCTCCCTTGGTAAGACACAGCTGGGTGGTCTGCACGTCCCCTCAGCTCCCTTCCCCTATCCCTTGATTTCTCTCTCCATTCCTATTTCTTTCATTTGGTAAAGGAAAATATCTCAGACCCCTTTTCTCCGATGGCACAGTCTTAGATGTTCATCTTTTCACAAGCTGTATCAATGCTTCTCAAACATTAGCACGGAACAGACTTACCAAGGGGCTTGTCAATTCTTGAGTACCTGCACAAAGTGGCTCCTCAGTCAGTTCTGATGACGATGGTCTACAAGATAGACTCTCTCTTCCTCCCTGGATGATCTTGCCTCCTCACGTGGCCAACGACTCTCAAGTTTATACCTTTAGTCCAAATATTACCCCTGAGGCCAAGATCCATACATCCCAATGGCCACCTTGCCTTAGATATCTCACAGCTACCTTAAACTGAATTCTAAAATCAAATTCGTCATTTTATCCCTTAGACCTGCTCCTCCTTCAGTGTCACATACCTCAATAAATGGCACCATTATCCACTTTGTTGTTTTGCCAGACACTCTGGAAACATCCCTGTCAC